CCCCAAAAAGAGGAGGATTGGCAGCAGATGTTAGCTCAGGGCTAATCTTCCTCACAAAAAAAGAAGCATAATTTGTGTATGACATGTCTAGAAATAATGTATCTTAAATTTCACATAATTTCTGTCAACAGATCTTTGTCTCTCTATCTCATTTGTATATTAATTACTCTTTTTAAATATATCTATCTTTTAGTATATAAGGTAGGAGAGGAGAAATTTTACCATTCAATTTAGAATCAGAATTTTGCAGCTATGAATGACCCTAGAGGTCATCTAGTTCAAGTCCTTTATTATATAAATAAGGAAGTGGGTAAGTCACTTACTTCTCTAAGGCCACATAACACTTAGCGATAGAGTGGGGACTAGAACCCTTGAATCCTGGGTCTACAGCCACTGTTGCTACTACTCCAGGCCTAATTAATACATGTGCATGCTTTAATTGATGAATTTGATTAAGGTCAACCCATGCTGGGTGCAGACTCTAGGTAAGCTTATTTCTTTGTATTCAGACACTGCACCTTCAATTCAGGCCAGCCAAAACTATAACCTTGTGAACCAGAATTTCAGATGGAGAGCTGGCACAGCTCCATCTCCCACTGAAAATACATATGCCACACAGATGCTGGATAGTCATCTTTGTTTCCAAGGAAAACACACCTCTTCTCAGTAGCAGCAATATATTCTACATTCATTTGACAAACATTTATGTCCACAATGAAATGGGCATTGTACCTTTTGTAGTGTAGGGTCCTTGCCCTCAGGGAACTTACAATCTAAGCTGAAGGCAAATGTGAAACAAATAACTGTATAAAGAGTTGAGCCCCATAAGTGTACATATCTTTAAAGCATCCAGTTAAAAATCTTCTTTGTATCACAGTTTCTTGCAAAATTAGCCATTTTAATATATAACCAACAAAGGAAGCAGATAAGCATATAGTGCAAAGTTGGTTATTCATAATTGCCAATGTTTCTTTGGTCTGCTACTAACAACTGTTTCTCCTGCCAGGTATACTGTTGTAATTAGGTGAAGTTTTTCAGAGGTGAGAGAGCTAAAGTTTTGGAATGGGGTAGGTTAAAATGAAGTAAATTTTATTATTTAAAAAAAATTTATTGTGGTCTAACTGGTTTATAACATTGTAAAATTTCAGTTGTACATTAATATTTGTCAAACACCATATAAATGTGCCCCTGGGGGCCGACCCCATGGAGCAGCGGTTAATTGAGCACATTCTGCTTCGACGGCCTGGGGTTTGCCGGTTCGGATCTCAGGTGAAGACATGGCACTGTTTGGCAAGCCATGCTGTGGCAGGCATCCCACATATAAAGTAGAGGAAGATGGGCACAGATGTTAGCTCAGGGCCACTCTTCCTCAGCAAAAAGACAAGGATTGGCAGCAGTTAGCTCAGGGCTAATCTTCCTCAAAAAAAAAAGTGCCCCTGGACCCTTTGTGCCTACCTTCCCTTTCTTCCCCCGGTAGCCATTAAATTGTTCTCTTTGTCTGTAAGTTTGTTTATATTCCACATGTGAGTGAAATCATGAATTATTTGTCTTTCTCTGTCTGACTTATTTCTCTTAACATGATGCCCTCAAGGTCCATCTATGTAGTTGCGAATGGGACGACTATGTCTTTTTTTTTATGGCTGAGTAGTATTCCATTGTATATATATATATATATATATATACCACATCTTTATCCAATCATCAGTCGTTAGGCACTTGGGTTGCTTCCAGGTCTTGGCTATAGTGAATAATGCTGCAATGAACATAGGCATGCAGAAGTCTCTTTGTGTTGTTGATTTCAAGTTCTTTGGATAAATACCCAGTAGTGGGATAGCTGGGTCATATGGTAGTTCTATTTTTAATTTTTTGAGAAATCTTCATACTGTTTTCCAAAGTGGCTGCACCAGTTTGCATTCCCACCAGCAGTGGATGTGGGTTCCCTTTTCTCCCCGACCTCTTCAACATTTATTATGTTTTGTCTTGGTGATTATAGCCATTCTAACAGGTGTAAAATGATATCTAAGTCTAGTTTGGATTTGCATCTCCCTGATGATTAGTGATGTTGAGCATCTTTTCATGTACCTACTGGCCATCTGTATATCTTCTTTGGAAAAATGTTCATATCCTCTGCTCACTTTTTGATTGGGCTGTTTGTTTTTTTGTAGTTCAGTTGTGTGAGCTCTTTATATAATATATGATATATCCGATAAGGAGATTAACCCCTTATCGGATATATCATTTGCAAATATTTTCTCCCATTGTTGGGTTGTTTTTTCATTTTGATCTTGGTTTCCTTTGCCTTCCAGAAGCTCTTTAGTCTGATGAAGTCCCACTTGTTTATTCTTTCTTTTGATTCCCTTGTCTGAGTGGACAACATATTTGTAAAGATCCTTTTAAGGCTGATGTCAAAGAGCATACTACCTATGTTTTCTTCCAGAAGTTTTATGGTTTCAGGTCTTACCTTCAAGTCTTTGATCCATTTTGAGTCTACTCTTGTGTATGGAGAAAGATAATGATCTACTTTCGTTCTTTTGCATGAGGCTGTCCAGTTTTCCCAACATCATTTATTAAAGAGGCTTTCCTTTCTCCATTGAATGTTCTTGGCTCCTTTAGAATTTTTTATTGCGTCCATAGATGTGTGGTTTTATTTCTGGGCTTTCAATTCTGTTCCATTGATCTGTGTACCTGCTTTTGTACCAGTACCATGTTGTTTTGATTGCTATAGCTTTGTAATATGTTTTGAAGTCAGGGATTGCAATGCCACCAGCTTTGTTCTTGTTTCTCAGGATTGCTTTGGCTATTTGGGGTCTTTTGTTGCCCCTTTTGAATTTTAAGAATCTTTGTTCTATTTCTGCGAAGAATGTCATTATGATTCTGATTGGGATTGCATTGAATCTGTAGCTTCCTTCAGGTAGTAAGCCCATTTTAACTATGTTTATTCTTCCAATCCACGTACATGGCATATCTTTCCATTTCTTTATGTCATTATCGATTTCTTTCAGTAACGTCTTATAGTTTTCCTTGGATAGGTCTTAAGTAAATATTATTATGTTTTAAGTATTTTTATTATTATAAAAGTAACGCATTCTTTGAGTAAAATTTTCAAACTATAAAGTACAAAAGAAATATCTTCTCTATTCTGAGTACACACACTTAATAGTTTTTTGTTCTTTTTTCCAGAAATTTTCTATGCATATAGAAATATATTTTTTCCCACAAATGGGTTAATGGTAAATATGTTTTCTTCACTTACTCTAGACATATTTATACATCAATTCATATTGATATATCTCATTTTTAAAAATATTTACCAACTATACCTTTGTACGCATATACCATAATTTATTCAAGCAGAAGTTGACTTTTTAAAAAGTCAGAAATACTAAATACCACGGAGGTAAAACAGAGATTTTTATATATATACATATATTTGAAACAGCCATTGCCAGAGTGAATAAGAGGACGGCCACAGACATAGAGTAGTCAAGGTTTATTAAATTAATGACTATTTATTTCTTCATCATGGTGACCAGTAGCTAGAACCCATCAGTATTTTGATTGGTTGCTTTTGTCTTTTCATTCATAGCTGCTAACTTTCTCCCTAATTAACTTAAGGAAGTGGTAAAAGTTAAAGTTTTTCCTGTCTTGAGGCCACACTTGGGCTGTCTGTAATAACTAGATATGGTCACCCAGATCCAGCATCCTTGCATTTTAACTCATACCGACTTTCTTAACGAATTCCACGCCCCCCCCCCCCCCCCCCCCCCGCCTTGGCTTGAATTCCTGTCTTTTATCAGCTGCAATCTATCAAGACCCCATAATGTGCTCAGTGCAGGGCAGAACAAGTCAAAATGTTCTACCTCACAGTTTAAGGAAGGCAGGGGGCTAGTTTTTAAGATAAAAATCTTTTAACAAAACACAAACTCCCCGAAACTTCCTTTAAACTGAACGGCATTGTCACACGCTCACAAGCTCTTATTACTTACCCAGCCAGATGACTCAAGATTACTAAATTTCTATTCATAAGGAGTTTGCTGGCCCCAAATCAACACATTCAGGACCTCCCCCGTCTTCCTTCTTTCTCCCCTGGGAGAGTGACGTTTGGAGCATTCGCTGTACCACGTTTTAGTAGAATGAAGACGATCTGTCTTTGCTGCCGAACTATTTGTTGTGGGGTTTTATAAAGCACCCCCTCCCTCCTTCAAAGTTCATTTTTGGCGGTGGGGGAAGAGTAGGTCAGAATCTTTTTGGCTTTAAGTCTTCCCATTTAGAAATATGTTTTAAAACTGAGAAGTAGACTAAGGGCTAGTGTTTGCTATTTACTGTAGAACTGGGTACTTGTATCATCAGCTCATCCGCATTCCCGTCTGTCACTTAGCGTCAGACACAGGGATGAAGGAAACAGAGCACTAGCCTTGCCCTGCGGGGTTACAGTTGAAGCTTCTGCTTTTGCACTTGACTCTCCTAAAAAATGGGCCCATCTTTCCCTTTGGATCCTTCACTTCACAGCTTCCTAGACAATATTAAAAAAAAAAAAATCACGGTCAAACCTGCGCGTCTCCTGGAGGCCTTTCCACTCCCCCGACCGTGAGGCAGTGGTGGCGGCCTCCTCTCACGCCCCCAACTCCGCGCTCTTGTCACTTGCGTTCGTGGCAGGGAGGAAACCACTCAGCTAGATGGTCTAGACTCAGCCCCTGTCCTTTCGGTGACCTACCCTCAGCCCGAGACAGGGCCCCCAGTCGCGGCCCGTTCCCAGCCCCGCGGGTTCGCAGCCCTTCGCCAGCCGGGGCCTCGCGCGCGGGCGAGGCGGGCAGGGCGCGGCCCGGGCCGGGGGCGACCGGGAGGGGGCGCGGCGGGGCGCGCGGGCTGGGGAGGCGCCGGGGAGGCCGCCGGGGACGCGGCTCCGAGCGGGGAGCCGAGGTCGCGCCGGGGTCCCGCGCCCGCGGGCCTTCGCCGAGGGGGAGGCGGGGCGGCGGCGGCGGCGGCGGGAGGGGCGGTGCGGGAGGGCCGGGTGGCGGTTCGCGCCGCGGCCCTTTCTCCCGAGCGCGGAAACTCGGGGCTGAGAACTTCTCCCCGCCCGCGCCCCGCGCGCTCGGCGACCCCCGGCTCCCGCACCTGGTCCCCGGCCCGCCCCGCCCCCGGCCGCGCTCCTCTCGGTTACAAAGGAGGGAAAATGAGCAGGGCGGCGGCGGCGCGGCGCGGGGCCCCCACAGCGGCGGCGGTCGCGGCCGCCCCCGGCACCACGTAGAGAAGCCCGTCCGCCCGCCCAGCCGAGGCCCAGGCCCGAGCCGAGCCGAGCCTGCCGCTCGCCGCTCGCCTCCCGAGCCCTGCGCGTCGCCTCCCGGCCGGAGGAGGAGGAGGTGGAGGAGGAGGAGGAGGCGCCGCCTTCCCTGCGCCGCGCGCCCTCGCCGTTGTCTGCTCTCCGCTCTGGACCAGTTTGGGGAAGTTGCCGGGGCCCGGTGTCGCCCAGATGTGCGACCTCATTGAGCCCCAGCCGGCCGAGAAGATCGGCAAGATGAAGAAGTTGCGGAGAACTTTGTCGGAGAGTTTCAGCCGCATCGGTGAGTGGCGCGCTGCCCGGGGCACCCGGCCCGCCGCCCCGGCGCCCGCTCCCTGGCCCCGCGCTTCTGGCACCAGCCGGGCAGCGGCCACCGGGCTGGCGTGGGGCGCGCGGAGCGTGGAGGGAGCAGTGCCCGGGACCTGGGGAGGGCGGCAACGGCAAGGAGAGACACCCCTCTGCCTCAGATCTGGAGGTTCGTTTGTGGACCATCTTAAGCCTACAGTTTGGGTTCCCCTGCCTCGCCGCTAGCGCTCGGGCTCTCGCGCCCGCCCGCGGGGAACGCCCCTGCCCCCGCTGCGCACCGGGCTGCGCGGCCGCCTGGGTCCCTTATTTTGTGTGCGCAGGCTTTGATATCGGGTGTTTAGTCAATAATTTAGCTTTGAACGTTGGTGAAACGTTGAGTTGCGCCTCGCTATTGTTTAACACATCCAACCTAAAGAGAAGTGGGACAGATACCTGGGGACCTTTTGTTCCGTACTTCGAGTCCTCGAAAGCGAGATTTGGGTGTTCTCCGAATTTTTCCACTGCTGCAGAGAAATGCGTGCCGTGAACTTGTCGGAACATTTAGGAATAAGTCTTCCGAACTTCTTTCATTTACTAGGGCTCCAGTGCTATTGTCTTTAGATCAGCCAACCGACCAACAACTAAAAACCGACCGAGAAATGTTTTAGGACATCTAAGAATAAATGCCACAGACTGTAAGCGGGTGACAACAGTATCACGTGGAATGGGTTTGTTAGATTTCTAGGGTTGGCCATGGAAAACCTCTTTGCACCTTAAGACGGTAGCTGCCTCCTCTAACATAACTTTCGTTTATACAGGTAACTGCTTTCAGCGAGAAAATTGCACAGGCACTAAGAGTAAGCCCTCCGAGTCCCTAAGAAGCCTTCTAGCCTTTGTTCCACTTATTTAACATGTCATCCATGTTAATGAAGGGGTTAATGGAAAATAAGCATAAGATGCTTAATTCCTTAAAGTAAACCACTGGAGTGCATATGAATACTGTAGTCATCCTTCCATTCGTTCACATAAAAATCATTATATAAGTGCAGCGTAAAATATGCAAACTTTCTTCAGGTAAGAGAAAACGAAGACCGAAATTTAGCCTCGTTTTTTGTTTGTTGTCTTTTAAGTTAAAATTTCCTATTTGTATCCAAAAGCATCCCCAAGAAGACTGTAAAGTTGTGGTGTGAAACCAATACTTATTCCTGGTTTTACTTATTAAATGTATTGGATATTGGAGTTTTACTCTTGCAAGTTAGGGATGCTGAGAAGAGTCCCTACATTCAAATGAAGTTGGAAGTCAAGAAGCGTGTGAGCCTGCAAGGTTCATTATTAAGGAGGATGTTTCAGCCCCCTACCCCAACCATCACAGAGGCAGGTTCTGGAGTCCATTAGGCCCTGTTCTAAAACACATTAACTGTATATTTACTAATGCTAATGACTCTGTTGGAGCCCTTCCAGTTTTGTGTTAAATAATTCATTGCAATTGAGTCAGTAAGAAACCAAGGACATTAATATAAAAATTCCTTATGTTTAAATAATTTCAAGGTTTTGATAGACAATCAGTAAAATTTGGATTAACTACAATGCTGGCAAATGGGGTATTATAGTTAATTGGATTTTCTAGCTTACTGAGATTTAGTGATGTGAAACTCCTTTTGATTGCAACTCTTGTTAAAATGTCTTCTAATATCTAGTAGATTTTATTTTCTCCCTCTTGAAAAGAGTGTACAGTACAGTGAACATAACTGATTATTCGTTGTATTGGTGGAGGATATGATTCTGAATAACCAATCTCGTTCTGGAATACTGTAAAAGGAGATAAAGAGTTTTTAAGTGGTTATGATTGTACACCAAGCCCGAGACATTCATTAGAAGTAGGATTACAGAAAAATAAATCTTTATGTATTTTCTTGATATTTTATTTGCAAAATCAAAAAGCAAGGAAATCAACCTGATTATTTAAAGATTTTTAAGGTGCTGGAGGCTGTTGAACTGAGGCTTTACTGTGGGATTATATAGTGCATTGATTAAAGGTGTGGGCTGTGTGTCAGACAGACTGGGGATTTCTGGTGTTGCCATTTGTAGCTGAGTGACCTTGGGCAGGTCCCTCAACTTCTGAGCTTGTTTTTCATGTACAACTCAGTTTTTTTGTTATTGACGCTTAGTGAAATAATGCATATGTTGTCCTGTGTGGTACGTAGTAAAGACTCAGTAAATGCTCGTAATATGTTATTATCATTATTAGAGATTGCGTGATACTGACATAATTGATCTTCTAGGTGGGAGCAAGAGAAGTGAGGGAAGAAGTGGCCACTGACTTTACGGTTTAGCTAACCTGGAAATGGGATAGGTTTTGGTGTTAGGCCACTCTGGGTTCAAACCCCATTTTCCCTGCTTGTTGTGTGCCTTGGGCAGCTAGCAGAATTTCCCTAAACTCAAGTCCTCATCTGTAAATTTTCTTAAGGTTGTTGTGAAGATTAAATTGGATAAAATACATAAAATATCTAGTGTGGTATCTGTCATATGGTGAAGATCAATACTGGAGGCTGTTATTATTCCTTCTGATTTCTCTGTTTATCCCCTGTCTTCCTCTTTTCTTCATTGGTACTTCATGAGAGGATCAAAGAGTGAATGGTTTATTCCTGCTGGATAATCCAACATCTCACTATGTTCATTCCCTTTAACCATTCTACGATGGCTGATGACATAAACATACTGACTTTATTTTGCTTTTTTAGTGTGATTCAAAAGTGTAGCTTGTTCTGTGGTAAAATATACAGTATCATTGTTTAACCATAAGAAATTAGTAATCATTCATCTATGGAAAATGAGGACAACTTTTGAAAGTATGTGATATCCAATCAATGAATTTATTAGTAATAACTCTGACTATATAAAAGTAGCAATGCTAATGTTTAATTTATTCATACATGAAAGTCCATGCCACCTTTGTCACTGCCCACCCGAAATACAGCAGATCTGAGATTACTATATTATAAAAGGTCTAATAAAACACATTAGCTTTCAAGCCTTAGCACTCTAATTTACGACATCTGCCAGGGAGTGACTATAATACAGCTATGGTTCTTTTATAACATGGATGTAATTTGATTTCAAAGTCATCTGTTGATTTCAGTAGTGAGTATTTATGGTTTTCTGCTAAATAGTGTCAGGGTGTTTGCTTATTTAGGAATTCCTATAGTTGTCTCATACATATTTTTTAAAAAAATTTAGGTTAGTATAAACAAAGATAAATTGGAATTATAGTTAAAAAAAGTTTATATTAAAACCCCCTTTCTCTTATTTTCCCTTGTTTCTTTTTTATTTTTGATTGATAGCCTGGGAGGAGAAAGGCTTTCTGTAATATCCGGTGTAAGATTAGGGTCAAACTGACATTTCTTCGTATTCATTTGAATGCACTTCTTCACACTTATTTGGATTATCTCCTGGAGAAAGGAAGTTTATACTCTGTGATATTTGAGATGAACTCCATGTATACTATTTCTTTAAAAGATGTAGTTTGTGAGAGATCTGAACAAAAGGAAGAGACTGTAGTTACACTGCGTTTTCGGGTTTGTTACCTTAAGTGTGTAATTCTAGAGTCCAACTGTCATTTGATAAATCCATTCTGTCAGGAAAGAGAAAGGTAAGGTTAAAGGTTCAGGCACAAGTTTTAACTATTGTACCATATCCTCTCCCAATGTAGTTTCAAAAAATTTTAATTTGAAAACTATGAAATGGAATTTATGTCTATAATTCTTTCATAAGAGAGAATAGTGTATGGTTTTTCGTATGCTAAAACTTTAGTGTATCTCAAAGTGTAAGATGGTATCATTTTGCCATTGAGGTAGAACTCGTTAATTCAAATAATTCTCAAGTATCTCCTGTATGCTGGATATTGTGCTGGCATTCAGATTCAGTGACCATTGTTACTAGTCCTTGTCCTTAAGGACTTTAAGAAAGACAGACCAATGAATGGGCATTAACAATATAGAGTGACAAATTCTACTGTAAAGGTTAGCATAATTTGCTTTTGGAGCACATAGGAGGGACATCACTTTAGTCTTGGTGAGATCATGGAAAGCTTTCTAGAGGAATCAATGTCTGAGCAGAGGACTGAATAGAATATGTGATTATCTTAAATGGTATATGCCCCTTTGTTAACCAAGAGAGGTGTAATATGCTTGTTATCCCATGATATCCTTGAAGACAATTGTGGGTTTACATTTACATGAATAATTAATAGCAATCAGGGAATGTAATCAATAATGAGATGTTGTGTACTTGTTTAGGTCAAAGTTTATTCGTCAATGACCTGATAAATATTTGGCAAAGACACCTTTCATTGGCCTCTGTTGTTACTTTTAACTGCTGTTCAGGGCAAAGATTCCATATTTAGAAGAAACTGTACAATGTCCATCTAGCAATGAAGGGTTTCAATGAAGCAATAGACTTCTTGGTCTTAAAATGTTTTCCCCTGAGGTAGCCTGGGCTTGCGAGTAGGGTGCAGGGGAGAGAATCTGGCTTCCTGCTCCTTATATCTTAGAAAATACACCTGCAATTGCCTCTTCTCCTTCCTCCTTTTCTTTCTGACAGACCCCACCCCTTTATCTAGGATTTTGGGGGGATTGGCAGGACTTAGGCGACAAGAAGAAAATAGTCATTTGGGTGTCAAAGACATTCTGGTTTTTTGTTTTCCTCATCTCTCATCTTGAGGGTCTTCATTCCATGTTTGCAATTCCCTAAGGCATAGTATCAACTGTAGTTCTTACTGGCTGCTTTGCTTAAGAAAACCCATAGCTGAATTTCCAGAACTTTTGTCAGGTCCAAAGTAAAGAAAATAAATTTTAAAGTTTGTGCTGTGAATTATAAGTTTGCTGCTATAGCTTTGCATCTTGCATGGCAGCCACATAATGTGTTTTCCATTAGTCTCTGTTAAAGGAGCTTGTATGAGGCTGTACAATAATTGACTTTGTGTTTGAAATCAATGAGCTGATCATTTCTTATTCCAAAAAATTGTTTTTTAGATGGAGCAACTTGTCTATATTTGTGTAGGTCACTAATGTTTTAAAAAGGAATCACTAGTCAAGTATGCTAATTAAAGGACATGCTTTGGATTAAGGGAGTGAGGGGTATAGTCTAGTAACATTGTTGACTGATATTTAAAGAAAGATTTCTATTAGAAATTTTACATTCTAAGTTAAAATGTAGCCATTAAGAATCATCTAGGATGCAGGGATGGTTCAACATCTGCAAATCAATCAATGTGATACACGACATTAACTAAATGAAGAATAAAAATCACATCATCATCTCAAGAGATGCAGAGAAATCATTTGACAAGATCCAGCATCCATTTATGATAAAAACTCTGAATAAAATGGATATAGAAGGAAACTACCTCAACAGAATAAAAGCCATATGACAAATGCACAGCTAATATCATTCTCAATGGAGAAAAACTGAAAGCTATCCCTCTAAGAACAGGAACCAGACAAGGATGCCCACTGTCACCACTCTTATTTAACATGGTATTGGAAGTCCTACTCAGAGAAATCCGGCAAGAAAAAGAAATAAAAGGGATCCAAATTGGAAAGGAAGAAGTAAAACTGTCACTATTTGTAGGTGACATGATTTTATATATAGAAAATTCTAAAGAATCCACCGAAAAACTTTTAGAAATAATAAATTTATATGGTAAAGTTGCAAGATACAAAATCAACATACAAAAATCAGTTGCATTTCTATACACTAACAATGAAGTAGCAGAAAGAGAAATTAAGAATACAATCCCATTTACAATCACAAAAAAAGAATAAAATATCTAGGAATAAACTTAACCAAAGAGGTGAAAGATCTGTATACTGAAAACTACAAAGCATTGTTGAAAGAAATTGAAGAAGATGCAAAGAAGTGGAAAAATATACCATGCTCTTGGATTTGGAAGAATTAACATAGTTAAAATGTCCATACTTCCTAAAGCAATCTACAGGTTCAATGCAATCTTTATCAAAGTTCCAACAACATGTTTCACAGAAATAGAACAAAGAATCCTAAAATTTATATGGAACAACAAAAGACCCTGAATAGCCAAAGGATTCTTGAGAAAAAAGAACGAAGCTGGAAGTGTCACACTCCCTGATTTCAAAATATACTGAAAAGCTGTAATAACCAAAACAGCATGGTACTGGCACAAAAACAATCACACAGATCAAGGAACAGAATTGAGAGCCCAGAAATAAGCCCACACATCTATGGACTGCTAATTTTCGACAAGGGAGCCAAGAACATACAATGGAGAAAGGAGAGCCTCTTCAATAAATGGTGTTGGGAAAACTGGACAGCCACATGCAAAAGAATGAAAGTAGAACATTATTTTACACCATACACAAAAATTAACTCAAAATGGACTAAAGACTTGAATGTAAGACTTGAAACCATAAAACTGCTAGAAGAAAACATAGGGAGTATGCTCTTCAACATCAGTCTTAGCAGCATATTGTCAAGTACTATGTCTAGCTTGTCAAGGGAAACAATAGGCAAAATGAACAAATGGGACTACATCAAGGTAAAAAGCTTCTGCACAGCAAAGGAAACTGTCAGCAAAACGAGAAGACAACCTAACAATTGGGAGAAGGTATTTGTAAATCATATATCTGATAAGGGCTTAATATCCAAAATATATAAAGAACTCATTCATCTCAACAACAACAAAATTAACAACCCAGTTTAAAAATGGGTAAAATATCTGAACACACATTTCTGCAAAGAAGGTATACAGATGATGAAAGGATGTTCAACATCATTAACTATCAGGGAAATGCAAATCAAAACTACGGTGAGGGACCTGCCCCGTGGCTGAATGGTCAAGTTAATGTGCTCTGCTTTGGCCGCCCAGGGTTTGGATCCTGGGCACGGACCTACTCACTGCTCATCAAGCCATGCTGTGGCAGCATGCCACATAGAAGAACTAGAATCACTTACAACTAGGATATACAACTAGGTACTGGGGCTTTCGGGAGAGGGGAAAAAAAGGAAGATTGGCAACAAATGTTAGCTCATGGCCAATCTTCCTCATCAAAAAGCTTACTTAAAAAGAAAGAAAAGGGGCCGGCCACGTGGCGCAGCAGTTAAGTGCGCACATTCCGATTCTTGGCGGCCCAGGGTTTGCTGGTTTGGATCCTGGGTGTGGACATGGCACCGCTTGGCAAGCCATGCTGTGGCAGGTGCCCCACATATAAAGCAGAGGAAGATAGACACGGATGTTAGCTCAGTACCAGTCTTCCTCAGCAAAAAGAGGAGGATTGGCAGTAGTTAGCTCAGGGCTAATCTTCCTCAAAAAAAAAAAAAAAAAAAGAAAGAAAGAAAGAAAAACCTATGATGAGGTATCACCTCTCTCCCGTCAGAATGGCTATCTTTAACAAGATAGGAAGCCACAAGTGTTGGAGAGGTTGTAGAGAAAAGGGAACTCTGAAACACTGCTGGTGGGAATGCAAACTGGTGCAGCCACTTTGGAAAACAGTATGGAGATTCCTCAGAAAATTAAGAATAGATCTACCATATGATCCAGCTATCCCATTGCTGGGTATTTATCCAAAGAACATGAGAACACGAATACGTAAAGATACTTGCACCCCTATGTCGTTGCAGCATTATTCACAATGGCCAAAACTTGGAAGAAAATTAGGTGCCCATCAAGGAATGAATGGATAAAGAAGAAGTGGTATATAGACACAATGGAATACTACTCAGCCATAAGAAGCAATGACATCCGACCATTTGTGACCACATGGATGAACCTTGAGGGTATTTTGCTAAGCAAAATAAATCAGAGGGAGAAAGTCAAATACTGTATGATCTCACTCATAAGTAGAAGGTAAAAACACAACAAACAAACACATAGTAACAGAGATTGGATTGGTGGTTACCAGAGAAGATGGAGGGAGGGAAGAAGGTGAAAGGGGTCAATAGGCGCATGTGTGTGGTGATGGATTGTAATTAGTCTCTGGGTGGAGAACATGGTGTAATCTACACAGGAATCAAAATATAATGATGTACACCTGAAATTTATATAAAGTTATAAACCAATGTTGCTACAATAAAAAAAGGAATCATCTAGGGTCTCATATCTTTCTATCAAGATAGGTTATTTTATGTTTAATGTAAGTTAAGTCAAATACATGATAAAATATATGTGAGTAATTGAGTGCAAGATATATCATTTGAGGGGCCGGCCCGGTGGCGCAGTGGTTAAGTGCGCACACTCCACTTCAGCGGCCCAGGGTTCACCGGTTTGGATCCCAGGTACAGACATGGCACCATGTGGCAAGCCATGCTGTGGCAGGCGTCCCACATATAAAGTAGAGGAAGATGGGCACAGATGTTAGCTCAGGGACAGTCTTCCTCAGTAAAAGAGGATTGGCAGCAGATATTAGCTCAGGGCTAATCTTCCTCAAAAAAAAAAAAAGTTAAGTCATTTGAGACTGTGACAAAAGCCTACCTTTTTATTTTCCATTCAGAAAAAATTGTTCTCTAATAAAGGAGGTAGAGATATCTATTACAGATCAGTTTCTTAAGCAAAAGGGGAAGACTAAGAAACTTTCAGCAACATTTTATCTTCCTCAACCTACCTTAGTTTACCACCTTACCTTACCTTACCTTAACTTAACCTTAACTTACCACCACAGCCACGTACTTCTGGAAGTTTTTAAAAGACAAATTTATAGTATGAAACAGAGAAAATAGCCTTAGGGTTGCTATATAACATAAGCTTTGGTATGATGGATTCAGTTTAGGCATGTGACTTCTCTCTGAGCTCAATTGCCGAAATAATTTGCTTTCTATTTATTGCTTTTGTCAGAACATTTCCAAGTAAGAGCTACCCAGATACTTCTATCCAGAACAGGACTCTCCAGTATAGACCCGTAAACACCTATGTACAAATTCTGTAGATTTAAAACATTTCTCCAACTAGTGGTTTCAACTAAATGAGCTACTATGTTTCAGCTAAATTAGCTACTTTGTGCATTTACCTTAATATGAAACATTCTAAGTAATTCTAAGATTTGAGGAACTAGGTGTTTTCCAACTATGCATGAAATACTTCTCTTTCCCTTTAGAGGAATAGAATTCTAATTCTGAACCATGTATATTTAAAATAAATTTCAAGTATTTTCTAGTTCCTATAAAATATTCTGAATGTATTATTTCCTTTGGTGAAACTTTGTTCTAAAGTTTCTCATGTTGAAATGTTTGTCTCTACAGTGCTTATTTTACATGCTTGGTTTTTCATCACTGTACTTAAACTTCCCTAGTGTGAAAATCTCATTCAGGGCACTGTGCAGAGTGGGTGTCATCCTAACAGTTGGTTTGGGAGGTCCATACAACATGCATAATGATATATGCTCAAAGCCCAGAGGTTTAATGGGAAATTTCTTAAAGACTACTTTTTCATTCTGTCATTAAAATATTTTCCTACTGAAGAAGTGATAGGGGAAAGATCATTCTTTTCTATACTTGGGAGGATAGATCATTTCCATATTTATGAAAGTATTTCACAAAGATGCATGCTGTGCAACTCTCTCTCTCATTTGCAGTTTTGGTATTTGTATCATAACATTGTTATTCAGGATAGGGTACAATTTTACTTTCTCAAAGGAAAACACCATACTGCTTTTTTTTTTTTCTGTTTTCTAGAACTTAGATACTTGGTCTCTTTGAGATGTTTCACAATAACTGTTTCCTTTCCCTTTTTATTTTATAGCTTTGAAGAAAGATGACACCACCTTTGATGAGGTAGGTTAAATTTCTTTATCTAATGTTAGATGTATTTAATTACTGCCAGGTAAAGTCAATAGGTGCCAACTTCACGCTTAGACACAGAAAAAAATGCCTTGAAAAAGACAAGAGATGACATCTCTTTATTTAGTTACAATATATTATCTTCCAATTTTAAATAATCCTTCAAATGAATTTTGGCAGCAATCAACAGAAATATGTCTTTTTAAATTAATAGAGAAAAGGTACCTGCAGACCTTTGTGTTTTGCCTTCTTGATGGTGTTAGTGCCAGTGAAACCCAGTGTGGTGTGTGCCTGGGGCAAGTCTGGAGCTGTTGGTGAGCTGGGCAGCACGGCTCTCTTGAGCCATCCTCTGAATCAGGGTGTGATGTGACATTGACGCCACATATTGTTTGTCAGACTCCCAAAGGAGGAGCTGATTTTTCCTGTGCTAGTTTTCCTATTCTTTGTATATCAGATCTGTCTTTATTTACTTGCTGCAAAGTAGCAAAAAAGCCTGTTCAAATAAGGCAGAGGGTTCATATGTAATTAATAGCATTCTGAATGTGATTTTTTTCAATTGTACTCTTTCCTGAGACTTTTGTAGTATCAGTGGGAATCACCAGAGAAATAATGTTTACAAAATGCTCTCAAGAGTGCTGTAGAGTGAAGTGTTTCATTGTCGCCATCCAAAGCCACAGTAATTGATCTGTGTTGTAAATTGGGCCACGTGTCTATATATATATTGCATGTTTGTATATGAACACGGATGTGTCTACACAATGTGCTTATCCTGCAGCCTAATGAAAGCACAGGTTAGTTTGATTGTGATTGATTTCACAGTTGCAGATTCCATGAACTATGCTACCTGTCCTCCCTTGGCTGTAGTGCTTCAGAGAGGAAAGGACATTTGTGCTCATGGAAAGTCCCCTTGGCCGTGTGGCTGTGGTGCAGGGCAGGACCACTCAGGGAGAACCTGCTCCAGACTGGCATTTCTGGATGGGGCCAGTGACATTTGGCTCTCACGGTCTGCTGCTTCACTGCTGCACCTGTTCTTTCTTTCCCTGGGTCCAGCTCTATAAAGCCATGTGTCCTGGACTCCAGAGCAACTTCCCCGCCAGCATTCCTGAAACATCCTGTAAAACTTAGTTACTCTAGACCTGAAGCAATAGAGGAATCTTTTCTTCCCCATCTGTAGTAGGTAATGATGATGTTTTCCTCTAGACCTGTATTTCTGGAATTTCTGCAGTGTTACTGAAATGTGTTTAGGAGAATATTTTCTTTCTTCCCAGAAGAAATCAATGTGAGCATATTGGACACCTTTTCTCACTTTATAAAGAACAGTCTCCCCTCTAATTATAGTGGTAATTTAAGCTTACATAAAAAATAAGAAAAGGAAAAGGAGAAAGAAAAATCTCCCAAATCCTATTATTCAGCTATGACCACTGTTGAATGCTCTTCTTGCTTCTTTCCCCATGTTAAAAAAAAGCAACAAAAAGAAAACATAGCTCCTATATTGTATCCTGCTCTTTTCTTTTAACCTGTAGCATATTTCCCCATGTTTTTAGGGATGACTCCTAATCATCACTAGGAATTTAAAAAACCTCTTGTCTTGTTTAAACACCATTGTTAATGACTATATGTTATTCTGTCATGTGGTTGTGGCATTAGCTTTAAAAAAAATCTGACATTGGAGCCTAGATGAAAGTCAAGGATGTATATCTCAAACCTGTAACTCCCTGCCCTCCCTTACTGTGAAACCTCAGCACAAGGGTCTGGATTTTGTAATTTGGGACAAAATTATCCTTAGCTTTTACAAAGTCGTCTTGGTTAAATACCTCAAATCAGTGAGTCACAGAATGCTATACCTGGAAGAGACATTGGAAAATCATGTGGCCCACTTCGTCATTTCACAGGTGAAGAAACTGGGGTCCAGAAGGGCCAGGTAATTTTCAGTCAATCAGGGGAAGAGCCAGGGCCAGGAGCCTGGGAGACAGTATTAGAAAAGGCATGCTTGAGTATAAACACTGGCTCAAGTACCCTTTGAGGGCAGTTGACTTCCTTTCCCCATGCCTGTTATAAAATGGAGATGTACTAGCATCTCCTTCCTCCTGTGGTTGTGAGGATTAAATAAGCTACCTGTATTCCAGAGCAGTGACTGGCACATACTAAATGTCTTATCATTGGGATTAACATCATCCTTGTCCTCCTCCTCATCGTTGATACTGATCATGACATCCACCTGTAGTTGAAGGGCTGAAAGGGGGATGGAAAGAGTCAGTGTGAAATTAAGTATTAGCCCTATGAGGAGAATTTCAGATATTCCTCTAAAATTCCATATAAGGTTTCATGTGATGATTTGCATATAAAAACTGTGAAAATATTGTCTAAAACCCACCACTTTTTAGATTCCTTGAGGGAATGATTGCATTCAGCTTTGTAATCGCTCGGGTGTCTTGCACATGTTTAAAATTTGATAAATATCTATTGAATATTAGTAAATATCTGTTGCAAATGAGGAGAGAGAGTGTTGATCCGAGGGTCAGCCAATGTGGATTCTCACTTGCCACTTCCTAGCTGTTTGGGCAGGTCATTTAATTTACCAGGGCTCAATTTTCTCATTTGTAGAACCAATCAGTTAGACCATGATCTTCAAGTTGCTTTCTATCGGTAAATGTAGGATGGAATCCTACATAACAATCAACATAAAATTATAATTTTACCAAGATCAGAAAAGAGCATCACACTTGTTATTATGTAAACAGGAAGTCACTGAGTTCTTCTGTGATCATCTTCAGATTATAGTGGTATAAGTTTTCTTGAACTCATTTCATGGTCTTCCACTTTTCTTCTTGGTGGGGGACTCTGCTGTCCATTGGAATTCAATTAACATTTGAGTCTTGAACCTAGGGGCTGGGTCAGCTTCTTAGATAGGCATCGAGGTGTGGCAACTCTCTCCTTACTCAGTAGGGGCTGGGTCAGCTTCTTAGACATGCATTGAGGTGTGGCAGCTCTCTCCTTACTCAGTAAGTGTGAGCTGGAGGGCTCCTTATCTCCTTCAAGGAGTGGCTTCTCCAGAGTGCCTGGAGCTGGAGTTTAGCTGCTGCTCCCTGATTCATGGGGAGGATTTCTCTAGGGTGTGTGTAAATGTTTGACCTTGAACAGAGGAGAAAAACAAATAGGGACCTATTTGGAAGATTTATTTACTTGTTCTTAAATAGGCTGAAATACCTGACTGCTAATTTTCATAACCAGCCTGGAATTATATTCAGGAACTGTGTGCTGATGCTTGCTGTAGAGAGAGGATGAGGCACTTCGGAAGGGGCTTCAGATATTTACAGTGTGAGGCAATTTTTTTGGAATGGGGAATTTTGTTGAAGCTCATCATGTTCGGAGAGAGGACATTCTAAGGATGATCATTTTGCCCTCCCTTCTTGCCTGTCTGGGCCCTGGTTAGAATAGGAAGCGTTTTATGTTCTGTGGGTTAATCTACACATTTAATGTGGATAGACTAGTTATTTATAAGGATATCCCAGATAAAATTTTATTGGTTTTATTTTGTTGTTTTGTTTTTTTCCCCACAGAACTTCTTGATCTTTGGAGTCTCAGGGTTTGGCACAGTACATGGTCAAAATGAAGGGGCTAAATACATGATTGGTGGAGAAACAAACAGTTAAGCCAGAATGAAAGACGAAAGAAGATTGCTATTTTGTGCATAGTTTTAAGTGGATACATTGTTTTTGGTGACATTGTGATGAGAGCCTCTAGTAACTGTGAACTTCTTATCTGTGATACTATTACAGAACTTTCCGAATTTTTTTCTCACCTTTTTGTCCCCAATAAATGCCCAGGCCATGTCTGCTGAGTGGCCCCATTTTTCCTGGGGCAGTGAACAATAGCTACACTATGTCTTCAGGTGAAGTTTTGAATTTTATTTTTTAATTTAATGATTTGTTTTAAGATAATAATGATACCTAAAATACAAAAGGTCAGATAATACACTCCATCTCCCCCAATGTAAAATTACCATGCAGAAAACCTTTTGAACTTTGGAAGCTCCAATTAAGTGTAAATATATGTGTATAGGAAGAGTTGGAAATGGCTAAAGCCGTAGCAATTCATGGATTGTTCTTGTGCATAAATCACAAGTTGTGTAGTTTTAGTTCTGCTTCGTGCCTCTGTTATTTTAGCTCAGATGAGTTGCCAGAAGAAAATGCTGACTATGCTTGGCTCTTTGGTGAGAAATGCAAAAATTTTAGCAATTGAAGTAAACCTTTGAAGTGTAAAGAGTTTCATTTATTTAAGATATATAAGCACTTTGAAAAAAATGGGCAATCATTTATGAGTTTTGTAATTATTCTCTGCTCTGGTCAGTTATTTCATGTTTGTGAGGTAGAAGGGGCTACCAACACTTATTTTGTCATTTTCCCTCTATTTTTTGTACCCTAGGAAAATGTGTACAAAGCATTACATATGATCTGTAGCTGCTTCAAGTACATTTTTAGAGGTTAACTTGCTTCCTATCTGCTTAATATAATCATTTTGTAAGATAGACGGGCAGAGTACATTGATCTCAGCTTCTAGCCCACGTCCTCTTTCTTATCTTGTATATGATGTAACTGTAATACCCGAGATGATAAATGTAGCAGTGATTTTCATGAGAACCAGAGTCTGGGACTAGGTACAAATATGATTTGGGGATATTCCTGATCATTGTTTTCCATACATTGAGGATGGGTCTTTTCTCACTCTATCGTCGTCGTCGTCGTCGTCGTCGGATGGGTCTTTTCTCACTCTATCGTCGTCGTCATTGTCGTCGTCGTCATCATCATCATCATCATCATCGGAGGCTTCAATGTCTGTGTGAATGATGTATACACCATATACAACAGTCTAGTGTCACATTTCCTTGACTTCCTCATCTAAAACATTGAATCCCAGTACCAGTCTTAGCTCTTTCGTTCCTGCTGCACTCCCTCTCTCTCTTCTTTGCTGGCTTCCAGTTTCGAGATGACCCC